CCCTGGCCCCCAGGCTGCTGCAGCCCCCACCTCTCCAAGGATCACATTTCGCCACAATCTCCACCCCCCCTTTACACACACACACACACACACACACACACACACACACACACACACACACACACACACACACACACACACACACACACACACACACACACACACACACACACACACACACACACACACACACACACACACACACACACACACACACACACACACACACACACACACACACACACACACACACACACACACACACACACACACACACACACACACACACACACACACACACACACACACACACACACACACACACACACACACACACACACACACACACACACACACACACACACACACACACACACACACACACACACACACACACACACACACACACACACACACACACACACACACACACTCACGCTTCCCAACCTCCCCAGACTTGCCTGCTCGTCGCCGGCGGCGTACCAGTCCACGAAGCCGCGCGGGTTGAGGGGCAGCTCCAGGCGCACGCGCCAGCCATCGGGCAGCGTGAGCGCATAGCGCTGCGCGAAGGGCAGGAAGGCCTTGCGCGTGGGGAACCCCGCGCAGGCGATGCGCACCGCCTCCAGCACGCCCCCCGCCCGCAGCTGCTCCAGCACGTACCCCGCGGCCAGTGTCCCGGGCACGCTCCCCGGGTTGGGCTTGATGCAGCGGATGTAGTGCGGGTGGCACGCGTCCAGCGTGCCCATCAGCACCGCCAGCTGCTTCCGGAAGCGGCTGGCCACCGTGCTGAGCTGGAAGGCGGAGCGCCGGGCGGTGGTCAGAGGAGTGCTGCTGGTGGGGGCGCCGGAGCTGGCGGCACCACCCCCGCCCGCCCCCGCCCCGGCCCCGCCCGCAGCGTCGGCGAACAGCGCGGCGACCAGGGGGTCGCAGGACTCTGCGGCCAGGGCCGAATGCTCCGCCACCACGAAGTCGCGGTTCTTGTCCAGCAGGCCCTCGCTGGCGTAGGCCACCTCCCCTGCGTAGTGCTCGACGGCGAAGCCCGTGGGCGCGCGCTTGGGCGCCCGGAAGCAGGGGTGTGCGGCCAGGCGGGAGCGCAGCGCGCGCGCCAGGTCGGCGTCGCCCGCGCCGGGGACGCGGCAGGCCTCGTCGATCAGGGGGAAGACGCCGGGAAGGGCGGGACCGGCGCCCTCCAGCAGGTCCAGGCAGTCCTGGTTGTCCACGAAGTCGACGTAGGACCAGGCGATGCCCTCCGCCGCGTACTCTGCCTGCTCGCCCTGTGGTCATGGGGCGTTTGGTTTGGGAGGTTGAGGCAGGGCTGGGGGGGGGCACTCAGGGTGGCGTGGTGCGGCGCGTATGAGGGGCGTGGCGCGGGCGGGCCAAGGCCTTTGCTTGCGCTGCTCCGTCCCACCCGATTCACACAGCAGCCATTGTGTCGTCAGTCCGGCCCCTGAATACCAGCCCGACAAACCTTGAAGACGTGGCCATTGAAGTGCTGCTGGAGGCGCTCGTTGGCCAGGTTGATGCAGAGCTGCTCGAAGGAGTTGGTGTCGAAGGACTCGAAACCGTAGATGTCCAGGATGCCGATGGAGCGCGCGCCCGCGCCGCCCGCGCCCAGGCTGCCGATCTTTCGGTTCACGGCCGCCACCAGCCAGTCGAAGAGGCGCGCGTACAAAGCTTTGGCCAGCGCGTCGCGCGACTCGGCCGCCGCCTCGGCGCCCAGCGCCTTGACGATGCGCTCGCCGCGCGTCTCCAGCACTCGCCGCGTCAGCGCGGCCAGGAGTGCCTCGGGTGCCACGCCCAGCAGGCGCGCCGCGATCTCCACCGCGTCCTCCGCCGCCACGTCGGCCAGCACCGCGTCGTCGCAGTCGCCCTCGGTGGCAAAGGCCACGTTGCCCAGGTGCAGCACGGCGGCCACGCAGGAAAGCACGGAGCGCACCGCCCCGGCGTCCAGCCCGATGATGCGCAGCGCGTCCAGCGTGTGCCTGTTTTTGGATTAGGGAGGGGGAGGTGAGGGAGGGGGTTGGAGGCAGGGTGGGAGATGTGGTGAGCTGGCGCCCGGCATGCAAGCACACAATCCTGAAGGGTAAGGGGACGAGGCTACCGAGTGACGCGAGGCCGCGGCGCATGCTCTCCACCTCCAGAGCAGTCGACCCGAAACACGGATGGCCTCACCCAAACTCCTCGGCGTCGTCCACGTGCTGCAGCAGGACCGCGTCGGACTGCGCCAGGTACCGGAAGCTGGACACGCCACCCTCCAGGCCAAACTCGCGGCGCTGCTCCCGCGAGGCGCCGGCCACCAGCTGGTAGAAGATGTGGTAGCTGCGCTCGGGGGACTTGATGCTGACCACCCGGGACCTGCAGTGTAAGGGAGGGGGTGTTCTTATGTGCATGTGCTTTTGAGGGGTGCGGGGTGAGAAGGGGAAGGGGTGGTGCGCGCGCAGACTCAGTGATGGGGCCCCCAGCTGGTGGGTCAGCCGAGGACACTCCTCACATGCCACGGCCCGGAATGCCTGTGCCGCCTGGCCAGCAGCTGCCAAACACCCTCCTCCACACACGACCCCATGTAGGTCCCTGCTCCCACATTCGACATGCTGCCACCCCTCCCCCAGCACCATGCACGAACCCCCCGCCCCACCCCCTCCCTTCCCATCAACAACGTACCGCTCCAGGAGGTAGGTGGAGATGGAGGCGCCCACCACCCGCCCCATCGCATCAAAGTCTATCTGCACGAACTTCCCGAACCGGGAAGAGTTGTCGTTGCGCGAGGTCTTGGCGTTGCCAAACGCCTCCAGCAGCGGGTTGGACTCCAGCACCTGCTCCTCCACGGGCGCGGCGCCGGAGGATGCCCCGCGCGCATCCGCGCCCGCCTCGCCGCCGCCGTTTGCGGCGCGCCCGCCGCCGGCTCGGTGCGCAAGGTACTGCATGACCAGCTTGGCGCTCTCGGTCTTGCCCGCGCCACTCTCGCCGGAGATGAGGATGGCCTGGCGCTGCTCGTCCACCATCATGGCGCTGTAGGCCTGTGGCCCGGGGAGGGGGTGGGAGGAGGGGTGAGGGGCGAGGCGAGCAGGTCGGGGTCCCTGGGATCTGTGCAGGGCCTGTGAGAGCACCACGCGCCACGCTGATCATCTGAACCCAGTGCCCCAAGCACCCCGCCACCCTGGATCACACCTGCTCCGCGATGGCGTAGACGTGGGGCGACAGCTCGCCGAGCGCCGCGCCGCGGTACTGCGCCATCATGCGCGGGCCGTAGAGGCCGCGGACCCTCTTGTGGGGGTTCACGGCGATCAGGATGGAGCCGGAGTAGGTGTAGATGGAGTCCAGCCCGTACCGAACGTGCAGGGTGTGCAGGATGCTGTGCGGCAAAGGGTGGAGTGGGTGATCTGGTGAGCCGGTGGGGGAGGGAAACCAAAGGGAACCCATGCATGCAGTGGAAGGTAGGAGAAGCATGCAGGTGGCGATGCGTCTGAGGCCCGGGCGGCGGGTCGATGGAGGGCCGCCCTCGACGGGCAGGATTCAGGAGCGTCTCCCTGTTCGTCAACTCCCTCCACTTTCCGGCACACACCCTGGCTCGTGCAGGAAGTCGGACTTGACCAGGTCATCGATCACGTCATCCCTCTCATTCTGCGCGGATGGGGGAACGGGTTCGGAGGTGAGACCCACAGGACACGACCACCCCCTCTCCACGGCCCCGGGCACAGCCCTGCTCCCGCGCGGCAGCTCAGACTTGCCTGAAGGTGGACGCTGGTGGCCGTGATCTGCACGACATCGCCGCTGGTCAGCCGAACCTTGAGGTCGACGGCGTCTCCTTTCCGCTCGGCGGCCTGGGGGTGTGGTGGGAGACCAGGCGCTCAGTGGACAGGAGAGGACACAGTCGTGCTTGCCAGGTCGTGCAACTGGGCAAGGTTCCACGGGAACATAATACTGCAGGTATGCCAGAGTGTAGAAAGACCAAGCTCGTGAGTGACCTCCAACTCCCAACCGACCGCCTCACCTGCACAATGCCTGCCAGCCAGTGAGTGACACGCTTCCTGCTGCCGTCTGCCGCAGCGGACAGCAAAACCTCTACTCGTGGAGCCCATACTGCCGTGCCTTGGGGGTAGACCTGCGGGGTGGGGATCTGGCCGTCGCCACCCATTGGGAAAGACGACGGGGTGGAGGGAACGCGAGACAACAGGGGCGCTCAGGCAGCCCGAGCCCCTTCCTGCCTGTGATAGACCCCGCTCCAGTGGGGTAGAAGCTTTACGGCCCAGAGAGGGCATTGTTCGCCCCCCCAAAGGGTGAGCGCGGTGGACGGTTCGTTGGCAGGGATGCCCAGGACGACGACAGTGGTACACGGGGATGTGGGAGGCTCAGCCAGGTGTGGGGCAATCCCATCAACTCATTCTTGCAGCTCTGAGGTATAGTTCGGGGTGGATCGTCGTGTCCTGCATCAAGGCTTACTGCCAGATCACTTGGATCGCGCGCGAGCTTGGCGCGTTGTTGAATCCGGAGCAGCAAGGTTGAAACAGGATGGCTCAGAGGTGTGGAGCCATTATGTCCAATCTTTGCTTCATTGCCTTCTCAACTGGGATTGTTATATCTGAGCAAGGCTGCATGGACCTTGAGCGAACCTCTCGAATGGCCAGCACATGACAATGCCAACTTTCTATGTTTTCTCACTGCTGCACTCCAGCTGTGGTGTGTCTAATCTTGGATGACAGAATATGCTTGATATGTAAGCAGCATGTCGCTTGGACCATTTGAATGGTGTAGTGGGACTCGTTCATATGCTCCACGAGCATCCCTTGTAGAATACTTTGACGGATTCTGACGATCATGCTCCACAACAACGCGTAAAGTGGTCCCCAATTATGGTGCGGATACACCAACTCTATCAAATAAGATAGTCAACGAGTTCTGACCAATCAATGGGCAGGCATGTCGTCATAGTACAGATCACCCCAGGGACGCTTACGTAAGGCTCAAACCTCTTCCCTCCCTTTCATAGGGCTTCACACCCACACCGAATCGCTGCTCAACGACTGACGAATAATTCAGTAATAGCAGGTCGACCGGTACCCTTTGATTGTGAGTGCGCTGACTGGGCGGTGTCATCTGCTCCGCCGACCAGTCTAGGGCTTCGGCCCAACAAATCGCCAGGTCCAAATCGATGAGATGTCGAGAGCCAGAGCCCTTGTGATTACTACAGTACTAGCATGCTGCATACTTGTTTGTTTTGGCAAAGCGCCGTGCCTCGACACCCTCCCTATCGGGGTTTGGAGGACCGTGCTCCATGAGGTGAGGGTGGGAGGAATGCTGGCAAGCACTGCGAGTGGTATTCTTGGAGAATGTGGGTGCCGCAAGGAACACTCAACACTCGACCCGAATGTACAGGAGCCAAACATCATGCTACAGAAGCTGGGAGCGGTGAGCTGGGTTCTCTGATGCTATGCACGGGGACTGGGTGTGGGTCAGTGTGCGCCGGCATACGTTTCTCCAGGACCTCTCAGCCCCTCGCTCCTCACTCACTCCATCAACCAAAACCACGAGGCAGGTGTCAGACGACCCAGCGGTGCTCACTCGCACCTACCTCAGCCCTGCCCATCGCCAGGCCGCCCAGCTGGTCAGGCTGTGTTGGAGGTGGCTGGCGGGATGTGCCGTGCTGCATCATGCCTGGCTTTTGGACCCCCTCACACCCCTATGTCATTGCATTTCAGCGCTGACAGCTTGAATATGCAAAACAGCAATTGGCACCCAGCCCCCGCACGATGACTGCCCACGTCCCTCCCCTCTCACCCGCCCAGCTCAAGGCCTGGATGCAGGCGGCCGGCATGGACAGCTGGGTGGACGCCATCGGGAACGTGCACGGCCGCGTGGAGGGCTCCCTCCCCGGCCCCGCCACCTTCACCGGCTCCCACTACGACACGGTGGTGGATGGCGGGAAGTACGACGGCGCGCTGGGCATCATCGCCGGCATTGCGGCCGTGAAGGCCCTTGTGCTGGAGGTTTGTGTTTGTGTATGTTGGGGGTTGGGGGGGGGGAGCAGGGGAGCGGGCTTTCTTGTGTGCTGCCTGGTTCGGCAAGCTCAGAGTGCATCACGGCGGCTGCTCCCGCTGATGCACCTGGGTCGGAGGCACCAGGGGGCTGCGTGGGAGGGCAGCGCCGGCGCCTTGCCTGGTCCACCCCCCTGACCAACACCCCTTCTTCATGCCCCATCCAGGCCGCGGTGGCGCGGGGCGCGCTCACGCGGGAAGAAGCTGCTCGGTTGCCCGTGGACCCTGCTCTGGGCACGACGGCGCTGCCTACCACCTTGAATGCCAGCGCGCTTCTCCGTCGCAGCTTGCGCGTCGTGGGCTTCGCGGACGAGGAGGGCGTGCGCTTCCAGTCCACCTACCTGGGCTCGCGCGCGCTGGCGGGCAGCCTGGCGGCCTCGGGCGCGCTGGACGCGCGCGACGGCGCGGGTGTCACGCTGCGGGAGGCGCTGGCGGCCGAGGGCGCGGGCGACGAGGCCGCGCTGCGCGCGCTGGGCGTCGTGCCGAGCGCCGCTCGGGCCTACGTGGAGGTGCACATGGAGCAGGGGCCGGTGCTGGAGGCTGCCAACTCACGCCTGGCAGCCGTGTCGGGCATCGCAGGCCAGGCGCGGCTGGCCATGCGCCTTGCTGGAAGCCAGGGTCACGCAGGGACGGTGCCCATGGCCCTGCGCCGCGACCCGCTCCCGGGCGCGGCCGAGGTGGTGCTGGCGCTGGAGCGCCTCTGTGCGCCGGGGGAAGACGGAGCCGGCACGGGCCTGGTGTGCACGGTCGGCACGCTGGCGCTCTGGCCGGGAGCCAGCAACGTCATCCCGGGGCGAGTTTTGGAGGGGTGTGTGAAGGGGGTGGGAAGAGGGCAGAGGAAGGGGTGTTTGCCAGAGGAGGCTTGACATATTGTTTCTAGGAGTTGGCAGGTGATTCTTCAGCATTCCCACGTCGCTGACCTGAGGCCTGAGCAACAATCCCAACTCTCGAGCAGCTTACCCGTTACGAGCAGCCTCGAGTGGGCGCGGGGTGAAGCGCCCACCCTTGCCTCTACCCCCGTGACAATGCGGCGTACCCTCGTCTTCCCAGCCCCCACCCCTCTTCGGCATCCAGATCCGTCCAGCTCAGCATGGACATCCGGAGCCGGTCCGACTCGGAGCGCGAGGCCAAGGTGCGCGAGTCGGTGGCGGCGCTGGAGGGCGTCTGCGCCCGCCGCCGGCTGGACTGCGAGTGGGAGCTGCGGCACCAGGCCCCCGCCGTGCTGGCCGACGAGGGCGTGACCCAGGTGGGTGCTCGGTAACGGTGGGAGGGGGGTGGGAGGGGGCGAGTCGTGGAGGGGGGGGGAGAGGGAAGTTGGCTGCTGGGCTTGAACCGTGTCGCTGAAAAGGGGATCCAGTGGGGTCGCTGGACCGAGAGTATGATCGACGGATGCCACTGGATGGCATCCCATCCCCTCCCATGCCTGATCTGCAACCAACCTACCTGAGTATCTTCCCTCCCCCGCCCTTTCCTCCCTCACTCCAAGGCCCTGATGGCCGCCGTGGCGGCCAGCGCCGGCCTGACGGACGCCATCCTGGCCGAAGGTCTCGCACCAAACACACCGGCAAACGCAGACGGCGAGGGTGCCGATGAGGAGCCCAGCCACGGGTCGCCCCCGGCCGCCCACGCTCCAGCCGACGGCGGCGGCGCAGCCTTCGCTGCCGCCGTGGCCGGCCCGCTGGTCAGTGGAGCAGGGCACGACGCCGCGGAGATGGCACGCCTGACGCGCATGGGCATGCTGTTCGTGCGGTGCCGCGCCGGGGTGAGTCATAGCCCGCTGGAGTACGTCGCGCCGGACGATGTGGCCGCCGCGACGGCGGCGCTGCATGCCTACCTGGCCGGCGAGGAGGCCGCGTGATGGGCAGCTGGCATCGGATGCAGGGGAACGCTGCATGCGGCACATACAGCGTCCGCTGCTGTTACAGCGCCGACGAACTGATCTGGGGCAGGACAAGGGTCACAAGTCGAGGGAGCACGGTCCAAGACATCCAGCGCCGTGCGCCAGCTCGCGCCGCGCGCCTCATCACCGGCCCGCGCTCCTTGGGTTGCCTATGCTCAGGCAGCCAGCCACCCCCGAAACACACACACACGCGCCACCTACACGGCGTACACCAGCTCCCTCCAGACAGGCCCCACCGCCTCAGCCCAGACACCCAGATTGTCCAGCAGCCGATGGATGGCGGGGAGGGCGTCGCGGCGCACCGCCGCCACCAGCTGCCTGCAGAGGTCGGGAGGAAGACGCGGCGGGAAGTGTGTAAAACTGTTGGCAGATGGGCGTGGTCGGACGCTGTTGGATGCCCTCTGACCAAACAGGGCACGCAACATCTTCCAGTCACAGAAAGCATGGTATGAGCAATGTAAAGCCCAGGACATGGGACCGCCACAGCCGCGCCATGCACCTAAGGAGGATGACTTGGCGGGGGGAACCGCCGGCAGGCTGGCTGCTTGGGGTCAGGCAGATGTGCTGGGAGTCCAGGAGCTCCCGCTTGCTGGGCTGCAGATGGGTGGTACGGGTCGAAGATGCCAGCATCGATACGTCGGTCGAAGGCCAAGGACCCAGTTCTGTGCACAAGCAAACATACTGCCATCGCAGGGCACATCACAGGCACGCATTGGGAGCCGGACCATCAACTGCGCAGGCCGCGTCGCGGTTACTCACCCGCACCGGCGGCACCATGGGGCTGCCGTCCTGCACCAAGTGGTCTCTGCCAAGGCCCTCCAGAGCGCCCGGCCTTGCACACAGGTTTGGCATGTCCGGCTGAGAGGATGGGGGTGAGTGGGAGTCTTGGGCTGCAGGTTATTCCTTGAACTCAGCAGGGCTGTCTCATCACAAGCCAGTGGGCCGGTGAACCTTCGGGAACGGTGAGCATGGGGTGTGGTCTGCCAGGATGCGAGCCAAGCCATTCAGGCAGCCAGCACTATCAGCAGTCCTCCCCCTTGCCCCCAAGGGACCCACCGACTCCAGAACAGGTGCAGCCTTGCCAAAGGGAACCCAGCACTGATTGATGGGACACAGCAGGTCTGATGGCTGGTACTCCGCCTGCAGTGCCGAGGGGCAGATCAGGTGGCGGCATGTCACTAGTGTCAAGCAAGGTCCAGCACCGTTAACCGCTTGAAGAGCTGCACATGCCATCCAGTGAGAGTGCTTGGCAAGAACCCATACCACATGCGAGCCGTTTCGCACCCCCGCATGCGCTCATTCCAGTGGGTGTCAGCACCTTGTAGCGCATGCGGTGGCAGGTGTGGAGGTAGAAGCCGAGGTAGTAGTAGCGCAGAGAGGGGCACACGAGACGGGCCTGCTGGATCCACTCGATCTCCAGCAGGCTGGACACCTTGCCAAGCGAAAGATGGGCCAGGTCTGTGGAGTGCAGATCAGCATGAAAACCGTGTGAGGATTGAAGGGCACAGATTGAAGCATTGCACCCCACATAAAGGGTCAACACCAGTGCAGGCACCCAATGTCAACATCCAGTTTTAGAGTCAAAGAGCAACCAAGGTACATCAGCGAGATTATGAAAGAATCCAGCCCATTAACAACCGTTCCCACCCTATGACCTGGGTCCCAGAAAAAGTACTTGCTGGAGATGCAGGAGGGCAGGATGTCGATCACGCTGACGGCAGCCAGCCGGCCTGCACAGAGATGCATTGTGGGTGAGTTTGCTACTCCTATCCTGAACTTCTGCCTTCGGCAGGGACCTGGGTGCCTAATCTCAGCCCTAGACCTGCTCTCTGTTCAAGCATGTGCGGTGAACAGCTCCCCCTGTCCACATTTTGCTCACCATCCAACCAGTATTGCTGATGGAAGGAGCCAAAGCCCTGTTCCAGGCATGACCCCGGCGGGGCACCTCTGAAGGGTTCCGGTGTGAGCGGGGAGGAGCAGAGAAAGTGCGCAAATGTCTTGCGGGTGACACCCTCCTCTGCTTCCTTGTGATGATGGACCTGGGAGGTGGCATGAGAAGAGGGAAAGGTTCGACTTCGTGATCAGGGAGGCAGAGTGAGCCAGCCTCAAATGTGCACTCCAGAGTGGCAAGGAGATAGCTGATACTCATCGATCATCATGTGGGCATAGCAAGGGCGAGGGCACCAAACTATCTGGCCAAGTTACATCAGCGTCCTGGCACCTTGGCAAAGCCGCCCTTGGAAACACCGGCACTGAGCATACCTGGTACTTTTTGAAGAGCTCAAACTCCGTTTCAGGCAGGCTGGGATCGTCATGGGGGAGAAGCCGTCGCTCAAAGGAGTGGGCCAGGCCGGCATGGATGTGGGTGATGGGTTCCACGGCACCCACCTGCAAATCCAGAGGGACAGGCATGAGCTACGATCCGTCTTCAGAGCCTCCAGGGCTCATTAGAATGGCACAGCTCGACAAAGCTCACCAACAAGGTGCCACTTTCTTCCTGGCCACATGCCAGGCCCACCACCTCCATGCCCGTCTTGCCTGTGACTCTGTGCCTGAGGCACATGCACTCTGTCGGCGCTCCCATGGGAAATTGAGGTGCCCCTTGGCCACCTCTACCTCCGCCCCCAATGGCAGTCGCTGCAATAGGGTTCGCAGCGCCTGAGCGACCTCCCTCGCCTCGACGCCGGTGCGCCCCTGCCGCCTCAGCCAGGCAGCCAGCACAAAGGCGTGGGCAGAGGTGAGGCCGAGGCTGCCCTGCGCCTTGCCCTTGCCACACCTCTGCGTGAATCTTGCCGGGGGAGGGGATGGCGCAGCGGGGTGGGAGGCAGCCAGGTACCTGGCAGTTGCGCCATCCAGTGCCTCCTGCAGTGCCTGAATGGCATCCTGCAGATCCGAACCTCCTCTCGTCGTGGCACCTGCTGCCGGCCCAGGCACTGTGGCATGCGTCGCTTGACTTGTCGAGGCGTCGCCGTGCCGACAAGCAGCGCTGCCTCCGGCGGTTGACATGGTGCCCCCCTGCAGGTAGCGCCTCCACTGCGCCAGCACCTTGCGCTGAGCCTTGCTGGGCCTGAATTGGGCCGCCTCGAGGCGGATGGTGAGCAGCTGGCAGCAGGTCTGCAGGTGGCAGGGCTTGTACAGCCACGTGCCTGATCGCCGCCACCCCCTATACGGAGTGGGGGAGGTCGCTGGGTCGCTACTTTATGTGAAAGAAGGAAGAGCAGGATCAGCTCTACTGAGACCAGCACAGGAGTTCTGACCATTCTTAGGCGTGATTGGAGTCTTGAGGAAGAGTGTAGAGCAGCGAGCCGGTTACAGGGCCCCCCTAGGTTGCCTGTCTCCATCCCCTCCCACCACCCCACAGCTCAACCTGTCCAGCAGGGCATTGTATGTCTGCACACTCATGTCCTCGGCGGTCATGCCGTGCGCGGAGGAGGCATCATTCTTCCCGCAGTAGGCACAATGCGTCAGGTGCTGGCCGTAATCCCGCACCAGCGCTCCCTCCATGGCGCAAGAGGTGGGGCCCTTGAGCCTCCCGACACAGGTTGGGGGGCTCACCGACTCGCCCTGCACATGCCCGATCCCTCGAGCGATGGCATGGATGAAACAATTTGAACTTAAAAGTAGATTGTAGAACAAGACTCCCTCTCCTATCGCTCTCTTTGGTCCTCGGTCGCATTCCTGTATCATGGTCCGTCCCTCGGCATCAAGGTTACCCAGATTCTCAGCCTTCGCTGAACGCCGGAGAGGGGTGCCTGCATATGTCTCCAAAACCCCCGTACTCGATGCCCTTCCGTCCGTGCATCGGTCAGAGTGTGCCTTATTGTTTACAGATCCCGTCAACTTGCTCTGGCATTGGCTTCCAAGGGGTTCCATGAGAAGCACGGATGCACACGTCACTCACCATGCCCGCCGCCTCCCCGCCCGGCGTCCTCACGCCCGCGACAGGCACACCCTGCGCAGGATGTCGGTCAGCGTGATGACCCCCACCGGCCTCAGGTCGTTGTCGCACACGTACAGCCGGTGCAGCCCGTTCTTGACCAGCTTGGCCACAACAGACTCCAGCGTGGACGAGGCGCTGCACATCAGGGGATTGTACGGTCGGAAGGCGGGGCGCAGGGAGATCATGATGTGCCCTCAAATGCCGCATGCTAGCCGAGCTCGGTTGCACGGCGCATGGGGGCCTCCCGGGCATGCATCAGGGCATGGCACCGCTCAGCTCTTCCCCCCCATTCCCCCCGTAAACACCCACCGACATCCCATTTGGTCACCTGCACGTCACCAGCTCCTGCCCGACATCCGCCCCCGGCCTGGCTGGCCGGCCTGCAAGGAAAGCGTGCCTGGGACCATCCCCCTGCACAGTGAAGCAGGTGTTGTTACCTTGTCGGTTTGTCAGTCAACTGGGGCGGCCGTGCCATTCTTGAGCATCCCTCTCACACATTCCACAGAGAAAACCGTCCGTCCTTCGCCCCCCCGCCCACCACCACATATACAA